GATATTTCCAAACAGTGAGCTGGTTGTCAGTAAAGCCGTGAGAACTCAAAAGCTCGCGATCATGTCTGTTCCAAAGCAAGGAACAGACTTGTGAACCTGTATTGACAGAGTTCAAGCATGCCCCCGTATTGGTGTTCCAAAACTTTATGCATTGATCTCCAACGCCACCACCTGAGGCGACCATATTACTCTGGAAAGGACACCAGGAAAGAGCTTTTACAGCAGCTGTGTGATCTGTCATACGGTGAACCCATTGGTGTGTAGAATTAGCAGACCCCATCGATATGCTCCATATATGGACCAAATTGTCGTTCCCTCCACTAGCCAATTGCTGGCCTGAAGCAGACCACTTCAATCCACATATCTCCTGATTGTGTCCCCTGTATGTTCCAACTATGTGGGATCTTACACGCACATCATTGTTGATGATCATACTGTCCATGCCCCCAGTTGTCAGTATGTTTTCATTCCAATCAAGTGAGCCAACCCTTAAGCTGTGTCCTCGTAAAGTCCTCAGCTGTGTATAAAGGCAAGATGTTAGACTTCTGATAAAGAAAGTAAAATATAAGCTCTCTGCATATTTTTATTTCCACGTAAATTGTTGTATAATAATTAGACTAGAAGAAGGAAGACGAAAGAAACTACTCACCAATCGGCAAGACCCCTGCAAGGTGTTCCACAGCTGAACGTGCGAATTATTCAAGCCCACTGCAAGGTGTCTTCCATCTGGTGACCAGCTGACAGCAGTCACCGGCCCAAAATCATCATCAACCGTGAGAAGCTCAGTAGCAGACTCATCAGAAGCATCCCACAGATAGACAGAATTTCCTAAGGCAATGGCAAGTATGTTATTGCTTCCCCAGTCTAACAAATTGAGATAAAAATCATCTAGGATATCAGGAGCATCCAGGGTCCTCTCCGAAGACTGTTAACAAGCAAGGAGTTCTCTAAGTTAGGAACAAACGCCAAGATCAAACATCTATTTACACTAATACAGTAAGTATGGTTAGCATGGACAGACGCAAAAACAAAAAGATAGTAAAAAGGGGAAGAAAGAAAAACTCACTTGGGGAATGTATCTCCTCTTTTTAATGGTTTTTGACTGTTGTATAGATGATGGAGATTCAGAAACTCTCTCAGCCGAATGTGGAGGCTTATTCTTAAAAGCAAGGATCCTCGTTCTATTCATGTTGAAAATTTCTGCTAACTGCTTCGAGTAAGCTTCTTTAGATGGAGAATTTACTCCATAGTGTTCCTTTTTAACCTTCCCACCACTGAGCATGTAATGTGCATAGTCAAAATCCATCGCAGAACGATTGGGTATAAACCTGTCCAGCTGCATTTTCACAAACATATCATTTAAAATCCAACCTTGCAACAAATCTCATATAATGAATATCAAAACATAACTCAACACTGACACTTTAAAACAACGAAAACAATCATTAGAAATACAACCAAAACCAGGATGACGTGACGCAAAGAGCTGACATCCATACATGTTAAAACACCTAGTCCAAAATTTTCTCTAGTTTGATTAATGAAAGCTCAAAAAAGTAAAATCGCAGCCTTTTACCTATCTTCCCTGTTTCAATTTCCTAAGTTTGATCGACATATCACGAATAAATTTTCAACAGCTTATTCACCTAACCTCTTTCTCTTAATAACAACAACAACATACCCAGTGCAACCTCTTTCTCTTAATAAAGAAGTAAAACCATCATCAAAATTCGATACCCGAAAGTAGAAGTCATCAGGTAACCTCATCCACCATACCATTTAGCACACATAACAGATCAAACGACAATATATTCATAATTAAGATTGCATAGTGGAAAACCCCAATTTGCAAAATTTAAGCGAAAAATCAAAACCCAGACAAACAAAAATTCAGAAGGAAACACTAATCTACTTCAAATTCAAGAGCCCAGAATCTACCTATCAATCAATCAATCATCATTTACACCTCAATTCGTCTCGACTATGAAAACCCCCATTTTTCAAAATCTAAACAAAACGCAAAACCCACCAAAACCCTCATACAAAATAAAAAAAAGAGACACTAATTCTTCGCAATTCATAATTTTATCAATTAATCACACCTCAATTTGGCTCGACTATAAGAATCCACTTAAACCCAGTCCAAGAAATGACTACACAGAATGAAGAAAAACAGTAAATGGAAAAAAAAAACGTACATTCTCTCGAGTTCTTTTCTTGTGAGACATCTGATTAACGAGAGGAGGTCGAAACTTATTGTATCTGCTCCCTGCATCCATAGATACAGAAAAAGAGAATTACTCTATCAAATACAAAACGGCAAAGTTGCGAAACAACAACAGAGAGAAACCAATTAACAGTGTTAATAATGGTGGCGGCGTCTTTAGTAGATCAATATGAGAATTTCTTGATAAAGAGCGTCAATGGCGTATTGAATTTCTTCAGCGTCAATGGGGATTTTTTTTTTCTTTCTAGAAGTGTTAAAACTGTAACGGCTATATATATACATTTCGGAGTCGGGTCATTGGACCGGATTCTAATTCGGGTCAGTTTTGTGATCCGGATCTATTGGTGGGAAAGAGATGCTATTTGATTTTTTTTTCTTTCTCTAATTTTTTTTAACTCGGATTTTTTTTTTCATAAGTAAGTTTCTAATTACTTATTTTCTAGTGTTTGTAAGTACACGAAAAAAAATATTTCAAGAATGTTTATATGTAATCTAGTAAAAAGCTGTGAGAGTGGGGGTTCGAGGGTGGTGGAGAGTAGGACGATGGTCAAGACGCGTGAAGGGTGGAGAGGAAACAATGAACTTGAAAAATCACTTATGAAATATTATTCGAGTTTGGTATCTATATTAGAGTCTGATTAAATTTAGATTCGCACCAGAATGTCCCATGTCGAGGGTAAAACGCTCTCTAGCAAAGATGATTTCGTAGTTAGGGGTACTCGAACCTGAGGGCTGAGATATTTGGTTAAGGATGAATGAGTACTTATCACTCCACCACAACCATACCCTATCCCGATCGAGTGCAGTAATTTTAATTTTTGACCAATCAAACAAGAAAAAATTGAAATGCCATATTAGAAGTTCATAACCAACCAATTTAATCTTAATATTCAAATAAAGGGTAATGTTAATGGCCAGAAAATTTGGCCAGAAATTTAAAAAATTTATAATATCTTTTTTATTTTAAAATAAACTGATATTTTTTCATTTTTTAATTAAATGATTTTAAAGTTTAAAGGGTAAAAATATTCAAAAAGCTAAAATAACATAGGTAAAATATCATTCTGGCCAAAAGGATTTTTCCTCAAATAAATATCATAAAGCATACGAGATAGATAAACTATAGCATAAACTCTGAAAATTCTAAATTATTCATTGCGTAGCTTTTCCAAATTATTCATGCCCTCCTCTAAAAATTCACAAGAAATTAAAGGACACATATCATATTTATCCTTATTTTAATTTCTTTTAATTTATAGGTAATATTTTGGATTATTGTTTTTTTTGCTTTGTGGATTCGCTTGATAAATTACCCGTACATATTAAATAAATACCTTAACTCAAATATAAAGTTTGACCCAAAATCAGTTTGTTCTATCGAATTCATATAACTATTGACTCTGTTCTTGGTAAGCTGACACATGTAACTTAAGAGTCACATCAGCGAGCAAAAAAAGGTAAAGAATAAAATAATAAAATTCGTTCTCACTTTGTTAAAGAAGAAAAACAAAGAATTTTAACATTGATTTTTTTATTTTTTTTAAAAAAAAATACAAACAAACTTGTTATTGAATCTAGTGGCCATAGTGTTTCTCATATTATTCACCAACCATTTTCCCGGTAATTTAATGGCACAAATGTTTCTACTTCACACCTCTTCCTTCTCTATACCTATACATACATATTTATTATATTTCACACATGCATGCATGTGGTTACGTTGGTTATGTTCTTGGGAGCTCGTTCGAGGACATGTATGGAAGATGATTCGAGTTTGAATTACTCATGAAAATATAATGAATATGGTTGCATAGTAATGTTATTCGAGTAAGTATTTGATTTCACTCTGAGTTTTTCTGGACGATCTTCTGAAATGATAATGTATAGAAGGAGAGAAATATGAGAGATTTTGAAGCAAACGAGAGCTTAATTTTTTTTTTAACATATGAAGAATTAATAGCCTCGTGTTTTAATACATAGACAAGCTAAGGAAATGTATGGAAGATCGAGTTTTTTTTTTTTTTTTTGGCGTTTGAAATACTAAAAGTATAATGGATATCGTTGTGTAATAATGTTAATTATTCGAGTAAGTATTTTACTTTGAGCTTTTTTTCTTGTGATTTTTTGAAAAGATAATGTATGTTCGTTGTTAGATAGTATGGAGGGAGAGAAATATGAGAGATTTTGAAGCGAACAAGCTTAATTTTCTTACATATGAAGAATTAATAGCCTAAAATTATGACTTCCCATAGATTCTCGCCTTTTTTGTATACCAAAATTTCCTAAAATTACACTTTACTTCATATTAGAAAACTTGTGTGTTTGAATTAGATATAGTATACCCCTATTGTTATACTAGGGTACATATGAGTCACTTTCATAACGAGAGATATATCAGCTCTAAATGACAAAGTTGAGAGGTATATAAGACCCTTTTTCCCTGTATGAAGATAAATAGAAGAGTTTTTTTTAAGCGATAGAGCTTAAATTTTTACATATGAAGCATATATAGCCTCATGTTTTTAATGTTTTTTGTATTCGTTTCATGACGTTACTATCTGTATATAAGATTGGGTGTCTTTTGTATATCTTTCAAGAGATTCTCTGCTTTTTTGTATACCTCTTATATACATGAGTTTTCTTATCAATGAAATTACACTTCACTTGATAAAATTAATAATTGTATGTTCGTAATGGTGTAGTATAGTTCGTGAATTGTGAGGATCAAAAGAGCATATTATTAGAGACGTAAGAAGGAAAAAGGTAAAAAAACATGTCGAAGGTGGTGCACGAGGGATGGATGGTGAGGTATGGGAGGAGGAAGATAGGAAAATCATTCCTTCATATGCGTTATTTCGTTCTGGAGACTAAGTTGTTGGCCTATTTCAAGACGAAACCTCAGGGAAATGTGGTGAGTTCAATTTACAATGCATTTCAGTTTTTTTTGTTTGTTTGTCTAATTTATATGTAAGAATGTGAATTTGATAGTTAAGCCGTGCTTAAAATGTTCTAGAATACCAGAATTTGAAGCTAATGTGTTCAGGATTCTAGTTTTGTAAAGTTAGTTGGTTCTAAATGATTAATTCCGTACATATTCAATGAATTTCATCAGACAAATACAAAATTTGGACTAAAACTACTAAGTTCAACCAAACACTAGCTCCGCGTGCCCTTGAGTGCACGACTGATGAAAAAATGATACTATGTTAGTAATTTTGAAGGCTTTTAACTTATGATGTTACAATAATTGCTAGTCTCCAATCAAGACTCTTGAAATCGATGGTAATTTTCGAGTGGAGGATCGAGGCTTGAAGACTCATCATGGACAGGTGAGTTGTTCTTATTGTTGATATTTGATATCTTGTGTAAATCTATAAGCTTGATGAACATTCATATAACATGTTTTTTTCTGTTGAGTAATTGATGTTATGTACACTTTACAATCTGCAGATGGTTTACGTTCTATCGGTCTATAACATGAAAGAGAAGCATGATCAAATCACGGTACACGATCTTCTTTATTCCTTCTTATCTGTTCTCTTGCCCCAAAGATTTGATTCACAGTGCATATCTAGACACCTCAACTTGGTCTTAATTCACAACTAAACACTCCAACTCGTCCTTACTGTGTCTCGTGAACACCCAAACACTGAAGTGAAACATAAGTTTTGGAGGTGTCTAAATAATCATTTTTGTAAGTTAGAGTGTTCATCTGACACAATGGAGACGAGTTGAGGTGTCTAGATGTACACTCTCAAAGTTAGAGTGCTTACTTGTCATCTGAGGCCATAGCCATGTTAGTTTTGAGACTTTTGTATATAAAAGGACAGGTAAAACAAATTTGTCTGGAGGCTTCCCCATCAAATCGATATAATTTATCATGTACAAAGAAGAATGAAAGAAAGAAGAAGATAGATATATGACGCGAGAGACACTTCTGCGTAGTTTCTTGAATGTAACTGCAAAATTTTCAACAAGTTCTAGTTTTCTTTAGATTTGGCATTTTAAATGTGAGTTTCATTGGCTGGACCAAGAACTAGTTGTCATTTTGGGAGATTAACCCACATTTAGATATATTATTTTGGCAAACATTTAGTGTTTGGTGAATTTAGTATCAAGTGAGAATAATTCTGGTTATATACATTATTATATATAGTGGATGTTGTATCGACTTAACCTCTTCTTCGTGTGTTTACTTCTTTATATTTTTGAAATCAATCATGGCTCTGCCACTTGCGACTGTGCTTTGCTGCCTGCTCTGAGTTTCTTGTTTTGTGAGAGAGAAATTATTCATGTTAATCATAATGTTCTTCCAGATGGCAGCTTTCAACATTCAGGAAGCACTAATTTGGAAAGAAAAAATTGAATCCGTGATTGATCAGGTTTTTGTTTCCTTATTTCTTGGTATTCTCTTCTTCCCTCATCGTACGTAGATGCTGATGGCAATAGTAACATGTTGACTTCTATGCAGCATCAAGAGTCAGTAGGTGGTAGTCGTACCAAATTCAACGATTTCAAATCTGGGACGGAGAGTACTGGGAGGACGACTTCAGATCAGGAAAGCCCGTAAACACTTATTCTCTGTTTAGCTCTGTATCCGTAATTCCCTTTTTGATACTTATATGATTTTTGAACTCTTGACTAGCAATTCTTAGACTAGTGACGAGCGCTAAACACACTATAGATTAAACGTTTTTCTAGTCAAAGATAGTATAGTGTAGTTATCATCTCCACTGGATTTTAAAATGATGACTTCAAATGCGACAAATACGTTGTTTGAACAAAAGCTACTTAGTTACCTATACGTGGGCTTCTAACTCCGCCCCTGACCATAAGTGTAGCTATTACTTCTATAGTCTAAACTTCATAGTGCAAGTCACCCTATTTTGTAGGTTCAGTGCTGCTGAGGATGAAGATGAATCTCAACAAAACGTGCTGCGGGGAACAACAATCGCAAATGGTTTGCTAATTTCCCTTGTGCTTATTTGATTTCTATACATGTTTTATAAGTTTCCTTATTTCTTCTTCAGCGATAGCTCCTCCGGAGTCTGTGGTTGATTGGACAAAGGAATCAGAGTCAGATTTGGCAAACCCGAAGTATAGGCGCTTACTTTACTGCCAAAATGGTCAGTCTAATTCTCAATTTTTCTTCTTAGTTTCCTCAGTGATAGCAATTGGGGACATTTTCCTGGACCAGTATTGACTACATTTCTCCACTTAACGGGTGGCTGCAGGGCTTCGCATTTTTGAGGAGCTACTCAATGTTGATTTACTAGTATGAGCTCATTCTTATGCTCTTTTCTGCTATGTTGCTTGTACTCCCCAAAAGTGTTGCTGCACCCATGCCGGATCCTTCAAAAATACATAGCATTTTTAAGATCCCACACTTACCCTGCAGTAATTTTGAAGAGTCTGAGCAACATAGCGTTTTTGTTACAAGCTTAGCCTAATTAGGTTGCTTCAGGGTATTTTGAGTGATGGATTTTCTCGTTGTTCCTGCAGCCAAAGGGATGTAGTAGAGCTATGAAGGCGGTTGGCGTAGTGGAGGCTACTTGTGAAGAAATATTTGAGCTTGTAATGAGCATGGATGCAACACGTTTTGAGTAAGTTTCGTTCACTTGACCTTGTATATACAGTGTGATCTTTCTGCGACCCTTACTCCCCTCTAGCTCCACATCTGACAATAGGCTTTACTTTTCCATCGCAATGCCTTGATTGCACGAGAAAATTTCTTTTTTTGGCGTGACAGGTGGGATTGTAGCTTCCAGTATGGTAGTTTGGTTGAGGAGGTAGATGGACACACAGCAATACTCTATCACAGACTTCGACTCGACTGGTTTCCAAGGTAATATTTTTTCCTTGTCAAAACAATCTTTGCTGTAAATGCTTAAATGTATATCTGATGAACTATTTTGTAGTTATCATTTGACTTTTGTTTTGGTTGGTTAAATAGCTCCATTAGTAAAATTGGTTGAGTCACAGTGTAGCAAAGGCAGGATTTTCACCGAGGGCTATGTTGCTCGGACTCTTCAAAAATGTCAACATGTGCTTGTCAGATTCTCCAAAAAAAGTATATTCTTGGAAAATATGACACACATCAAAGGTGAAGAGTCCGCGCAACTTAGCCAAGGAGCGATTCAACATCTAGTATATACATACATACAAAAGAATTTTGAACTTAAATATACAATTGTGATTTTCCAGAGGCGTATATATCTACATAAAGTGAAGGGTGGTCAGTTGAACATCCTTTATAATTTTAGTGACAAATCTTTGGTGTACGCTGTGCAGTTTTATTTGGCCTCGTGATCTTTGTTATGTACGATACTGGCGTAGAAATGATGATGGAAGTTACGGTAAGTATAACCACAGATTCCTGTTTATTCTTGTCGAAACAATCGTTTCTCTTTATCTAATTAAAATTCTATTTGTTTGTTTTTTCCATACTATGGTTGCAGTTGTGTTATTTCGTTCTAGGGAGCATAAGAATTGTAATCCTCTACCTGGATATGTTCGAGCTCATATCGAGAGTAACTTCTGTCTTCCTTTATAGCTTTTACTGAATTCATTTACATTTGCACAAACTAATCGATCTTTTACGTGTACAGGTGGTGGATTCAATATTTCACCCCTCAAACCGTGTAATGGGAGACCAAGAACTCAAGTACAGCAACTTATGCAGATAGATTTGAAAGGGTGGGGTGTAGGCTTCATCGCATCATTTCAGCAACATTGTCTGTTTCAGATGTTAAATAGTGTTGCTGGTATGCTTCTTCTTATGTTACACGAAAGTTACATTCCTCATAAACACTCGTCGATCTTGTTGTATCCATTGATTCTCAGTGTGGAACTTTTGTTTACAAAATTCTATGTTAGGACTTCGTGAATACTTTTCTCAAACTGATGAGAGGGCAGCTGCTCCGAGAATTCCAGTTATGGTTAATATGAATCCGCCATCTATCTCCTCCAAGAAGAGCCAGAAACAGTCTCATCATCGTACTCCGTCTTTAGACCAAATACGTGCTGCAAATAGAAATGCAGTATCGATGTTGGACGAGTACTCTGATGAGGATGAAGATTTTCAGTGCACTGATCAAGAGGTATGAACTATATACATACTTTTTCGTATTATTTTTTCATTATCTCCTTCTGAGTATGAGCTTGGACTCCTCCTTGTAGGTATCATCACCCGGTCTTGAAAACGATACGATTAAAACTGGTAGGTGTTGGACCATAGTTTTATTTGTTATTGGTGTTTCACGATTTCTTTATTGAAAGTGTTTTCGATACTTGTGAAGCTCTTGAAGAAGAACCTATAGAGCATATTGATATGTCAACTTTTTCGGGTAATCTACGACATGATGACAGTGATAATGGCCGTGACTGCTGGACAATATCTGATGGAAATAACTTCAGAGTTCGTGGCAAGAACTTTTGCAGTGACAAAACAAAGGTCCTTATCGCTTTGTTTATTCAATATGTCCTTGGTTTTAGAGCTATGTTTCTTGGACTCTACAAAAATGTCATCAGGTGCATGTTGAATCCTCCAAAAGTAGTGCATTTTAGGTGGATGGTCTGACATGAGTGCGGAAACATTTTTGGAGAGTCCGAGTGACATTGATCTTAGGTGGATGGTCTATGTCATGTGGTCTGATATCACTTTGTAAATTGTATATGAAGGTTTCAGCTGGTAAATCTCTCATGGATCTTGTCGCAGTCGATTGGTTCAAGGATACTAAACGAATGGACCATGTCGCTAGGCATCCTGGCTGTGCAGCACAGGTAAGTTTAAAGGGAATGTCAAACCATTTAGGATATTACTCCCTCCATGTCGTTTTATGTGACACTCTTTGACTGAACACAAAATTTGAGAATCTAAGAAAGACTTTTGAAACGTTTGGTCTAAAATAAACTATAAACATCCATGTTGCTATAAATTATCTCATTACAAGTAAACTGAAAAGTATGAATATAGATAAGTGTCGTTCTTTTTGAGATAGACTGAAAAGTGAAAAAGTAAGTGTGGCACATAAAACGGGACAGAGGCAGTACTAGTTTCTAGCTTGTCTTATTTAGTAGTGTTATCTTTTCACTTATCTTTATACATCTTTTTTTTTTAGGTTGCTTCAGAAAAAGGACTCTTTACTTTGGTTATAAATTTGCAAGTAAGTTTGTTCCTCCCCTGCTTTGAATTTTGAGTGAAAGGGTCAAAAACACACTTGAAGTTTTCCGAATTTTCGAGCTTCCTGAACTATCATGTGTTCACTTTTCCTACCTAACTAACAAATGTTTTTCAAAACACAACTTAACTATCAGTTGATCTTTATCCTACCTGAACGATAGTGATATTTTTGGTAGGAAAAGAGAACAACTTATAGTTGAAGTGTATTTCGATAAACATTTGGCGATAATTCAAGTAGGAAACTCACGTACCTGATAGTTTAGGTGTGTTTTTGACCCTTCATCCTTGAATTTTTGGATTCAAAATGTTTCAAGTCATACAGGAAGAAATAAGTGGACGACATTTTTGTCTTTCTGTAGGTACCTGGATCAACACACTACAGCATGATTTTCTATTTCGTCATGAAAAAGTTGATACCTGGTTCTCTCTTGCAACGGTTTGTTGATGGAGATGACGAGTTTCGGAATAGTAGAATGAAGCTAATCCCATCAGTGCCAAAGGTATCTTTTTTTATGTCTTTAAACAGAATAATACATAGATAGACACCTTAACTTGCCCTCAACTAGCAACTAAATATTCCAACTTTGAGAATACAGATCTAGGCACTTCAATTTGTGGACACCCGATGTTGACGTGGCACATAAAATTTTGGATGTGTCTAGATGATCATTTTGTAAGTTGTACTGTTCAACTGACACAGTGGAGATAAGTTGAGGTGTCTAGAGGTGCATTCTCAAAGTTGGAGTGCTTAATTGTCAGTTGAGACGTATTATGCCTTCTTTAAACTATCTCGAAGAATGCTTTCTGTTTTGCAGAATGTTAATTAGACTACAGAAAATGAACATCACATCATCATCCAAACCCCCTTCGCTGGAAAATTACATTGTACATACAAAATCAGAATTAGTATTTTCTATGTATATATAGTAGATATTGAATCCCCTCGACTTCTTTGAGTAACCATCTGCTATGTAGTCATCTGTCTTCCTTCGATAACTCTCTACCTGTTTGCATTTGTGTAAAATCTTTACCATTTTTCATGTATCATGCAGGGTTCGTGGATTGTGCGTCAGAGTGTTGGAAGTTCCCCGTGTTTACTGGGAAAGGCAGTCGATTGCAACTATATCCGCGGCCCCAAGTATTTAGAGGTGAAAACTCATATACTTTTTCCTTCCAAGAATAGCAAATACAGACACAATACATATAAAAAGTCCTATACCTCAATTCCGAGCAAGTTGGAGTCAGCTATATGAATCATCATTGTCCATGTCGCGTCTTAGTTCAACATCATAAAAAGTGAAATTTCTGCCATACATGTATATGTATTTGATTCTTGTATTGCTTGCATTCTGTAGATTGATGTTGATGTTGGTTCTTCTACTGTTGCAAATGGAGTTATGGGGCTTGTCATTGGCGTAATCACATCACTAGTCGTTGACATGGCTTTCGTTGTACAGGTACATGGATAGACCTTCATCCATAAGATTACAATGAACAGTTACATGTAGTCATCTTTTAGTCGACAATATAGTACATTGTTTGGATATGTCACAATGAATGATTCATTTTGGAAATTTTCTTTTAGGGAAACACCCCTGATGAGTTACCAGAGCCACTAATAGGCGCTGCACGCGTCTGTCATATAGAACTATCATCTGCTGTTGTACCAAAGCTTGAACCTGAGCCATCGACAACGGAGTAGGTCATATTATGACTCTTGTCAATTTTGCAGAAGGTGGTTTTTTGAATATATGTATAATTATACTTACATTACATGTATTTTTTGTTCATTCTTTAGTCTCTTTTTGAGTATTTCTTAAGCTCTGAGAAAAGTTAAAAAGGAGCCAAGTTTTGTATAGTGATTGTAAAGACTTGATGATTTTGTATTTCTATGATTCTTTTGTCTTCCTACTGTGTATTAATCAGTTGAGTTATGGAGTTATGGTGTGCAGTTTTTACCAAACAGAGGTGTTTAGTTGGTAAAAATTTCACGGGGTACCCTATTTGAACGTAACTAGTTAACCTTTATCTGACCTGATAACAAATATTGCCTCCCTACCCAACCTTTATCAGTGGGCCCTTTGTTTTGTCATACTTAAAAGAGTCTTCGCTTTTTAAACTGTAGATATCGCTTGTTTTAAGTTGTTCTGAAGTGGGTAAACTTGCAAATTTTTGTGCACTACGGGTATGGCTTAAATGGTGGTCCCAAAATTGGGTAAACAAGGAATTTCTAAGGGCCAATGGCTCTTCTCGGCTTAAATACCTAGTTTTTGTTTGCAGCAAGGTTTGAACTTACGCCTAACCCACACATCATAAGAAGTTGCACTCTTACCATTGGACTGAAAAAATTTGGGGCAGTCAGGGGGTTGAGGGGAGCAACTTTGAAAACTTATGCTAGTAGTAATGTTTTCGTCTAGACATGCAAGTCTCAAAGTTAAGAGTGTTTATTTGCCCGTTGAGGCAAAGTTTGAGTGCATATCTACGTATAACGCCAAACAACAAACACTGCAAACACCAAAAATAAGCTGTTCAGAAAGGAGAATTTATAAATATAAGGAAACAAGTTCACATCAAAGGAATGCTAGTTCATTGATCAATAAATTAATCAACTTCGTCGCGCCCCAATCTAGTATCTGTTCTGTTCAATAAAAGTTCATACTAGAAAAATGGAGTAATCTGCTAAGGATCAGCAGTAGCTCCGAAATCGCCAATGGAGGAAAAAAATGATGAATATGAGCTTATGTTTGCAAGACAACAATGTCATCAATTGGAGGCGTTAAGAATGAGAAATTTGATGGCAATTTAATTAGAGGCTCATTTCCAGCTAGCCTCTGATAGGCAAGTCCAAGCGCGTACCCAAGCGCGCGACCAACAGGAACTGCTACAGCATTCCCAACTTGGCAATATCTACACAAAGTGAACAACACAATGAAACCCAATTTATGAAGTGGCAGAAGATACAAAGCATATTTTGAGTAGTTTCAAATCATCGCGTGTTAGGAGGAATTAATCGCTAGTTCTTTACAACTTCCGAAATGTACATGTAAGAGGAAGACAATTCAAGGTTAGTGCATTTACTGCGAGGGTATATATGTACCACTTCTTTAGCGGGGGTATAATCCGCTCTAAATCACAAAGTTGAGGGGTATATATGCCCCGCCCCTTTTCCCTATAATGAGAGATCACAAAGATGTTTTTTTTTTCCATATTCCTCTCTACATAGAAATGAAGGCTGCATTTATGTATGTTTTTCTTTTCCTGGTCTTTAAGATCTTTGATTAGTAATCGAAATCGACAAGCTACTAGAACTATTTTCATCAGAAAACAAGATACCTTTCCTTGAGAGTACCCGTAAACCTATAGAAATCTGGAAAACCTTGCAATCTTGCATACTCTCGTATGGTCAGAACTCGATCTTGCTCTGGGTGTAAGATAGCCTGAAAAATATTAAAAAGATCAGAAAATGCTACAGTTCTATATTGCATATTCGATGGTAAGAATAACACAACAAAGTACCTGAGCACGATGATTAGGAAACGTCACTAATGTTGCTACTGTTTCATCCCACCACAACCTTGCAAATGGCCTAAAATTTAAAAAAGGATTTAATTGTCTATTGGATATTATCAATTAAACGGAGAAAGACGAAGAGAATATGACAAGCTTATAAGAAAACATGCATAACCTCTTAGACTTTCCATTCTCAAAGTTGAAGGCACAGTCAGGAACCTATATTGCAGAAGAATGATTCCGATTAGCAAGAATGATACAATATTTGTCTAGGTGTCATAGACAAGTACTTTTTAACAGAACAGCAGAAATAAATTGCCTACCATGGGCTTTCCGTTTGGTAGAACCTTTGGATCTTTAGTATCACGACGAGCCACATTATCCCCTCCTACAATTACACCAGGGAGGTCCCTGAAATTTGCTCCCTGCAGTGGAAATACATTACAAGAGGCAAACATCTGAAAAAAATCAATTTTCAGTAATGTTACAATCGTCAAACCTTTCTACGTGGGACTAGACAAACTCGCAAGTAATCATCCTCGTTTAGTTGGCAAGGCCGATGATCAGACAAAACAGGTTCTTTTGTTTCCTTAACTCCAGTTGATGAACAACTCATTATCTCTGAAGGAATCATTTCCACATGTAAAAATACACATTCAGTTCATAGAGTCTAGCATAAATTTAAATTGCACACTTCTCATGTGTTTAGCCGTAGTCTAACAAAAAAAGCCATTAGAGCTAGTGTGCAGAGAGAAATTACCATGTTTAGATAATCTCATGTATTTCTGGAACTCTGTTTCGGGGGGTATCTCATATGGCCTTTCTTCACGAGTTTCATGCCACGTGACCTATAAGAAAGTACATCAATTATTCCATTAAAAAGATAAATTTCTTAATAAACACACAACATATACCAAAATTAAAAAGGACTTCTAATGAAAACAACAACCATACAGCTGGCATATCAGATATAGCATCACGAAGAACCAGAGCTTCCTCAAGGTCACGTGGTTGTCCTTCCTCATAAGCAACAGTATTACGCTGCAAGAAGGAAAACACTGTAATAAATGCAGACCAGCAGTATAAAAAGCCTATAACTAAGAGAAAATAGAAAGAATGCCACAAGTTCTCGGGTAAAAAAATAAGGGCAGTGTAAATGTAAAAGGTACCTCAAATTCAGGTGAGGGCCAATATTTAACAATCACGTCATGCGAAGGAAGTGGAAATGGGGGCAACCTCTGAACAAGAGAGGGAATGATTGAGATTAATTGGATGTCACAAAGCTGTAATCACCAAGTATGGACCGGTATAGAAAAACCATTCCTATTCAGTAACTCTGATGATAACAGGCATACTCACCTCACTCGGAAGTGCACCCCAAAAGAAAACTCGCAATCGGAATTGTGGGAGACCATAGCAACCAGCTGCCATAGTTCCAAGTCTTGCTTGGTATCTCATATGTACCAAACGACTTAAAGCATATCTTCCTAGAGATGCTTTATCGAACCTCAATATGTCGGCAACATTTTCCATCAACACATATTTAGGCCGTAAGAATTCCACAACATCCATAAATATAATAATTTGACGATTTTTCTCATCAGACAATGGGTCATCAGTATTTCTGTGGCGATTATATCCACTGATGCCCTGGCAAGGAGGACCCCCACATATCATATCAACGTCACCCTACAAACATAATTAGTCAGGACCGGAAATCAAACAGGGATGATGACTCCAATGTCATTTAGTGATAATCATTGCAAATGCAATGGGGAGAAATAACTTACTGGTAGAGGCAGAATTTTCAACTGTTGCCCCCTTCGAACAAAATCTTTTATGCTGTCTCCGCAATTTCTGAGACAAAATAATTATTGCACATATAATTAAGGATGTGATGAAAATGCATAACAAAATGGTAAGCTCTTCTGAATTTTCTCAATCTCAGAAAAACTCAGAATTGCACTTCCTGCTTGCATTAATTCGTCGAAAACCAAATATGATAAAGGAGAGTACTGTTAAGAACCTTGATATTCAGGAAGAGAAACAGTGCTTCTAATTTTAGCTAATCAAACTTTTTGAGCAACCAAAACTGAAAGATACTATTAAACGATGGAAGGAACAGCATTTAGCAAGTACTTACTCCAAGTTCGCAATTGGCTCCCAAGTATCTTCACTTGGACTATAACCTTTCCATCGCACCTATAAGAGCACTCGCAAGAAGAAACATCATGCTCAATATCAAAGTTAAGATCAAGAATCGAGTTTGTAGAATAAAACCGTCAAAGCATAAACAATACAGAAAATCAAGAATTAAACCTCACTCCTCCAACAGTTAAATCTCATAACTTCTGACGGAATCACCTCAACATACCTCCACTATTTGGTGGTTTGGATAAATCAATTCAGTTCATTGATGATACACCAAGGTGGTGCCAAATTTGTGTTAGTGAATGAGTGGGTCAACCACGTGTAACAACTACGTCGTCCCAAAGATATTGGTGTCCTCTTTTTACACCAAAAATAAATTAAAATGAAAAAAAAGGACTTCTTTATACATCTTATCTCCTTTTCTTCACTATGGAAAAGTTTGTTGTTCCTTTCACTCCATATTCGCCCAAAGAAAAAGCAGATAGTATTATTTTCAACTGCCCTCTTCTCCTAGTTAATTCGTCTCAGTGTCCAACTAAAACGAGGAGATAGCTAGATTCCAATGCTGAGATGTGTACCTGCAATGCGAAGTATATGATCTGCATCTGAGCTCTAGCCCTTGTACAAGCAACACTAGCTTTACTGCAGCTCTCTTCCTCAGTTTGTCTGTGAACTTAAGATGGAAACCTTCGCCATGCACCAGGTAAAACGACAACTCTTTTTGGTACTTTGGTATCCCATACTCTCCTCTATATCTTCGTCCTAGCTAACTTTTCCAATATTTTTATGTAAAATTCAAAGCTTTGGCAAAAATGGGGGCAGCTTTCTAACCTTTTTGATCAACTTGCCTCTTCAATCCGCAGTACACATTTCAAGATTCTCTAGATAAGTTCATCAGAACGTGATCCACACTGATTGGGTCAAACCCTGACTCACATTCCTAGGACTTAAAGAGTCCATGTGCCATTTTTTAAAGTCCTCCAAAACAAATTAGAAGTTTACAACCTTGTAGTGTGGCAGAATTTGAGTCCACATCAGCTTCTCAACATTTTCGAAGTTTCCTATAGCGAGT